TACATTATAGGATGGAATTCTTTTAAGTTGTAATCTCTTTTGAACAGTTACAAAAATCTCTGTATTTCCCTTTGCAGGCTGTTCTGCTTATACAGAGTATCCTCATACAAATGCAGCCTCTGTACAATAAAAGATACAGCTCAGGATTTCCCTCTGGATCCCTGTGGCATATGCACAGGTATGTGAACTGTCAGCGTTAACTTCCAACATACCCATGATATAGTGGTTACAGGAGAAGATGATGTCACACCTTTAATGGTAAAGGTTTTGCATAGCACACAGGAAGAGCATAAAACAATTGCATGCTCTAGCAGCAGTTGTGGATATGCCATGGACAGCTGATACAGTTGTGATCTATTTTCTTCACTGTTAGGATGAAAATACACTAGGACTGGATTTATGTAATCATAAATGAAAGAAAGATTTAGCCCCATACATTTCAGCCTTGCCTACCTTAATAAGCAGCAGGGCAAAACCCTGGCTTTGTTGATGTCAGTAGCAAAATAATATTTATTTCCAAGGGGCACAATATCACCTCATGACTTCATGGCATTCCAGTACCGTGGTAAGTAAATCCAAACAAGAGGTAGTACTTGAAAGCTCTTTTTAGATATCCATCTCTCTAGAGCTGAGATGGGTTTTTCTGGAGATTTACAGTTCTGGTATTACTTTCTTCACCAGTGCAACTAGTCTCAGGTTTGTGGATCTCCACACCAGGACACAAAGACCACTGAAATTTCCAAGTTCCTCCAAGTGGTTTGGCATTCCATTTCAGTTGCCACAACTGCTAAACCCTGCCTGTGCTGATTTCTTCACATGTGACATTCTAGATACCTCGACATCTAGAGAATGCAACAGGTGTATCTAACTTAAACACAAATAAAATCACTTACATTTTAATTGGAATTGGAATGATTTAGACCTAAATTGGCACATCTTTCCTGCACTTCCAATGTGTCTTCATTGTAAGTTTCCCAATTTAAGGCAATGTGAGAAGACAGAAGCTTTTTTTGCAAGACCATTAACACCCCCCATCCCCAATCAACACTAATATCTGTGGTGATCACAAAATGGTGACTTTTTACAGTTCACAAGATTTTAAAATACACAGATCAATAACCTTCTGCTAAAACTTTCAGATAAAATCCTCACGTTTTTCCAAACACAGTCCCTTTAGTAGCTTCTCTAATGATGCAGGATAGGGAGCTGTTTCATTACACTCTTCTGGGCCATTCCAATTGCTACACACACAATTGACCCCTGTACGTGCCCACTCCATTTTCAGCAGAAGTGTCACTCTTGTGCTGTTTGTGCAAATGGACACAATTTTGAGCATCTGCTCCCAAATGATTATAAATCAAGGAACTTTCATGCTCTGTGAGCTTGAGAAGATGTGGTGTTATTAATGATCGCTATTCAAGGAAGTTCAGACTAAGTGACTAAGTGAAGACATCTCTGATGTAAGGCTTTGTTTTGTTTCTGGAAACAGCTGAGTGAGCCATCTTCACTCTCACTGTTTAACACATTTCTGAGGCTACCACCTCTAGGAAATTTCAACTATTTTCATTAGCTTAGCAACAACATCTACTTCCTCTGGGATCAGAAACAACAGTGTCATTCCACAGCAACACTCCTGAAAGACATATAGTTTACACACATATTGGGGTATATGAACACTGCTCTTCCTCCTCTACTCTGTCTGGTTTCAGAAATGTGAAAAAGCTGGTACAGATCTACAATGCAGGAAGTTAAAATATAAGTAATGTGTCATACTACTATTGGATTTGAAACAATGTAAGAAATGAATGTATATTTCCTGGCAGACCTGATTTGATCCGCAAGCTAACACACGGTGATTTCCTACACAGTCTTAACCAACAGCCTTTCATCTCAAAAGAAGCAGGACCGCCTCTGCCAAGAAAAGGCGTCCCAGAGTCAGAGGACTGTTTTTCTGTGCTAGTTACTTGCCGAGGTACACAATGAGTGCAATGCACCCCATGCATGAATACCACGTAATACCAAATTTGAAGATAAAAGGTCTGACTCATCACTCCATTGCACCAGTTCTGTGCCTGCGGGGCTCCATGTTCTTCATTGGTGACTCAGTCCCAAGACTCCCCTCTCTCCAGGAAAAACATGACAAGTCATGCAGTACATGTCAGGCTTACCCATCAACTCTAATTCCCATTTGCACATCAAAACTAATTGGAATGTAACATTCCATACCACTTACATTTTGCTGTTATGCCTAGGATAGGAACATATATAATTAAAGAGCAGCAGTTTAAAACACACTCATTAGAATTAACCCTGTGTATTTGGCAACACGCTTAAGGGTCCCTGTTTAAGAAAACAGTCCTTGCCAAATGTTAATAGTGTGGGTATGTGCACGCTAAGATTAACAGCACAGAATTAAGGACAAGGAGATTAGTTACTGGAACAAAAAGTTTCTCCAATTGTGTTCTCATTCCAAGATTGCTGCCTTCAATTTCCTAACCCAAAGCTGCTGAAACAGAAGAAACTTTTTGGACAACTGTAAGATAGGCATTGACTATTCCTTCTGAAAGGACACGCTGTGTTTATGACAGCTATATTTGGCTTTCAGCTATACAAATATAAAACACTATGAGGCTGATTTTCTTCTCACGGTTTCATGTCAGTATATATTCATTGATTTTAGTGGAGTTATATCTGATTATTTGCCTGGCATGGAAGTCAGACAGATCAGTGCTGATCCTTATAGGCAATTCTGAATAGACTTACACAGGGCAAAACGGATAGGAGGAGATAAACTACCCTACAGTCTCTGACAGTGTACAGCTACAGAAATCAAAGAAATCATTAATGAAAGGCTAAAGCTTCAAAAGCCAAACAAAACAAAAAGATCTATCTTTCATTTTCCTCTAAACAACAATGGATTGCTGTCCTGGAGCTTATCATAATGTACATTCTGCTTTCTTTCCATTTTTTTAGTTATGGGATCAGTAGCTACCCCAGCACACAGAGAGCACATGTACATTTGTCTTCAGGAGTGGCTCACGGGGAACTTCCCAGAGAGACCTGAATCTATGGTGGTTGTGCCTGCATGACTTAGTGCCATCCTACAGTGCCATCCTGGGCACTGGTGCACACAACCAGCAACACGCAGAAAACTGTGTGTGGAAATGATTACACACCATTGGGAAGCCTCATATACTGAGCATTACATGCATGAATTATCCACTTGCCCATGATAACAGTGTGCACACATATGTAATTCTGTATTTACTACTACAACTGCAAGACTACAGGACCTCATTCTGATTACAGTTATAGCTCATTGAGAGGTCAAGTCAGAAGCTGGTATTTTATGTGTGACTTTTTATAGGACAGAAAGATTTATTTTTAGGCATTCAGTTCTTTGAATTTTAACTTCATCTTCTGATAAAGAAAAAACTAAAGTCCACATAAACCCACAAAAATGTCTGTTGCATTATATACTGACTTTGAATAAATACAGGAACTTGAATGGTAACTGCAAGAGTAGGGTGAAACCCAAAAATGTGTCAGTAGGATCATTCCCTTTTGAGGAGCAATATAAAGACATGGACTTAAAATAGACACGGCACTGGCTTTCATCTTATGCTCACTTAACCTTTGACAACCAGCAACCAACATGAATTAAAAATGTTGCACTCACTACTCTCTACTTGCCACCATTTTATTAGTGAATATGTGCCCAGTCATGTGTGTGATCACAGGTGCAGAGACAACCTAGTGTTCATGTAAAAGTTACAGAAACAGCTCCATAACTATACTAGGGTTAAATCATAGAATCTATGCCATTACCCCCCCATTACTATTATTAAACTACTACTGTACCCCACCAAGAAAGGGAGGAGCAGAGGTACGGCATTCAGAAGTGAAGAATAAGTTACAAAACTTTGAACATAACAAAATGTATTGAAAGCCCACAAGCACCAAGTTTTGTGATACTGCTTCTTAATTGGTGAACCTCTCATTTTAACATCTGAGACACCAGTAACCATCAAAGATTAACAGACGACACTGACTTCCAGCAATGTTTAAGGTACTATCTAAAAGATCATCAATGCTGACGATGGGATCCAGTGAATAAGTACCAGGTTCAGCTGACCACCACAGCCATCAGAAATGCTTAAATTTCCACAGAATAATGAAATGGTTCAGGTTGGAAGAGACCTTAAAGCTCTCCCAGTTCCAAACCCCTGCCATGAGCAGGGACACCTTCCACTAGACCAGGTTGCTCCAAGCCCCATTCAACTTGGCCTTGAACACTGCCAGTGATAGGACAGTCACAGCTTCTCTGGGCAACCTGTGTCACTGCCTCACCACCCTCTTAGTAAAGAGCTTCTTAGAGAATCAGAATGGCTTGGGTTGGAAAGGACCTTAAAATCATCTAGTTCCAACCCCCTTGCCACATGCACAGACACCTCCCAGGTTGATTACCCTTTTTCAATTCGAAACCGTTTGCTCTTGTCCTATCACTACATGCTAGTGGTAGCTACACCTCAGCATGGGTAGTAGAAGCTAGTTTTGCTGTGACAACTGCGATTTTCACCAGCAACTACCAAACTTTGCCAGTAAGACAGCGAACACACCAGTAAGGCAACACTTCTGCATTAGGGGCATCCTTTCACCCCTTTTCCATCAGCCAGCCATAGCAGGGGACTGCCACTACCCACCAGGTTTCCTCTCCATGCCAACAGACCCGTGGACCTGCTGCATGGTGAGTCTGGGTGGGTCACTGTAAGACACACACACACCTGCCAGAGCTGGAAACCGCCCTGAGGATGAACGGGACCTTATTACGACCCCACCGGGAGCAGACACGGAGAGCAGGACGACATAGGGGAGGGGGTGCCCTGGCCAGGGATCCCCACCCGTCATCGTCCCCCCCGCTGAGGCCGCCCCACACCACTGGCGCCCCCGTTGTGCCGAGGGGGAAACCCTGTGAGCCCCCCGCCAGCTGCCCCCCACAGGTAAACGGCAACAGGCGGCGCCCCCTGCCCGGCACCACACACCCGAGATCGCTACCTCAGGAATGCTCTGTGGGATCCCGCCGCCTGGCTCCCGCCGCTGCCGCTGGGGCGGATCAGCTGATATTTACCTGTGAGGTAATGCACGCTCCGTAAGGTCACCGTGCACCCGCCGGCACACGGTGCCAGGCAGAAGGAGGAGGAGGGACGCTGGGAGCGGGAGTTGCTCCTCCGCCACCACCGCCGCCGCCGCGCACGGCGCCGGAGCGGGGCGGCCGCGCCGCGCAGAGGCAGAGGCGGCCGCTGCCGCTGCAGCTCCTGGCACATGCTGCAGGTGTCAGCGCAGGAGCTGCCCCGCCGCCCGCCCGCCGCGTCCGCCCCCCCGAGTTGCGCATGCGCGGCCGCCACAGCGCGCCGGCGCGCCGCTTCTGCGCAGGCGCGCTTCGGCGGGTGAAGCCGCCGCGAAGCCGCTGCCCGGCTCCGGCGCTCCCCTCGGGGGACGCTTCGCCGCCAGCAGCGCCGCGCGCGCGGGGGAGAGGGAGGGATGACGTAGTGGGGTGTGGGGCTAGGGGTGAGGCTGGGCGACGGGACGGGGAGCAGCAACCGGGGTCCCTGCTGCCCCGAGCTGTCCGCTGGGACACGGGTTCGAGACGGGGGTGCGGGGACAACCCCCCCCTCCCTCCCGGGCCGGTGGCGGGCCGGGGGAGCGGCGAGGCGAGCCAGTGGGGAGGGATGATGTCATCCTGTTCTACCGGGGAGGGGCGGGGCTTGTTCTGGGGCGGGGCGGGCCAGGGGAGGCGGGGGGGAGCCGGCCCGTCTGAATCCCCTCAGTGAGGTAGCCGTACGCTCGGAGCCGGGCCGTTGTGGCTGGATGGGTGTGATCGGTTCGGCTGTGCCGGATGCGTTCGGGCTGGAGGAGCCCTTAGGACCCGGTGGCGATCCTTCTCCCACACACAGGCAGGTCCCGCAAGCCCGGCGCTGGAACTCCGGGACTGCAACTTAAGCACCTTCACATGCGATGTGATGATGTACTGGGGAAAGAGCCCAGTGTGTAACGCACGGCCAAAGCCTTTCTCGCTGTAGGGCTCTGCAGGTGTAGCGGGCTGTGTACGTGCCCAGCTGTAGCAGGGTTGGCTGGCTGCCGGGGAGCAGAGGTTGGCGTGTGGGGAGCCCTCTGAGCTCATCGGGTGTAGGAAGCGATGGATAGCAAACGCTGCTGCTCATCCCACTGCTCTCAAAATCGGTATATTCCGGTTTGGCGAAGGAATCGAATGTCTCCAGTGCTGAAGTTTCATGACCCATTTTCTTTTCTATCTGGTAAGATAAACCATAGGGATTAACCGTGTAGGTTTGATGCACAGCTACCTGAGGGGAAAATTAGGCATCTTTCAGAGAAACAGCTTAATGTTTCCTTTCATCCATCACGTGTTACCTGAAAATAAGACATGACCATCTGCATTAGAAATGCAACAAGATTTTGAGTTCGGTGGGTTTCTTTCTCTTCAGCTTTCACAGATTTCTCCCATCCACTTGTGAAAACAGTTAACAGTGTGTATAACTTTAGCTATGGTACTCAACCTTGAGCTTGTGTAATGCTTAAGGGTCTGAGTCCAGCCCCATCACATGGTGTCAAGAGGTCTGACAGCTTTTGGCGTGCTGCTGCATCGGTCCTATTTTGGGTCTCATCTGAAAACAACCTGAGGAGACCCCAGCTGTGTCTGGAGAAAATAAGTAGAAAAGTGAAAAGGGAGGAGACTTAATGGTGTTGGAGGTTCAAGTGTGCCATATTAGACAGCTAAGGCATTACACTGCCAGCTGCATGCAAATATTTAAAAACCTAATAATCATTTAAAGAGCAGTCTGAGGCGTTGAGCATGGGAGAAAGGCATTGCATAGGCAATGCTGGAGCCTCACACAGATGCCCTGTTACACTGCTTTATATTTTACTGGCTTCCTCATGGTGCTGAAGCAGTGGGAAAGAGAGGTGAGAAGAGGATGAGAATGTGATTCAGGCATAGTAGATACCACAGAGAGCAGCCCAATGGTACCTTCTGGCTTGGTAAGATGCGCTGGGGATGTAGGAGAGATGGAGTGTGTAAGAGGTGACACAACAGCTGAAGTAAGGTGTGAGGTCGTGGAGGACATTTCCCACTAAAATGGGAATGTGAAAGGAGGTGCAGTGGGTGATGGAAAGCCAGCAGGGAAGTCTGCATGTCTGCACATGATGTTAGCTGGGGAGGTTGATTATTTTGCCAGAGTATAGTAGAAAAAAATAGGGAAAAGGTAGTGTCATAGAGGATGAAATGAGTGAGACTCCAGCAAGGGATTCTGTCAGTGTCATGAAGAGGTAAGGGAAGACTTGGGTTTCAGTGACAGTAACCCTACTGAAAAGGGGGAGTGACACACGAAGGAGAACAGATCACAGGAGAACCTGTCCTTAAAATCTGTTTCTGGCTCACAAGAGAATATACCAGGAGACTTTAATGTTCAGTAGGGATCTAGTTAAGATGTTAATGGGGCTGAGGATGTTCATAGCTCACTGAGTTGCTAACTGGAAGGACTACTATAAATTGTAGCTTTTGAGGTTTTGTCAGGAAGTGTTGCTTCATTTCTTGAAATTATGGGCTAAATTCATCACTGTTTTAACAGGGCACTGAGTTAGTTGTACTTACAGGCAGCTTCACCACAATAATCCTTCATGCCCTAGAACATGCCCTTCCAAGGGTAAGTGGCTGAAGCCTGAATGGTTGTCAGACCTGGCTGTGACGGTATTTGCATGGCAGGAGGAGTAATGTTTTCAAGGGGGAGTGAGACTAGAGTTAGCAGGCCGTGTCAACAAACTATTGTCACATAGAAGGCAGAATTCCCATAGAACAGTGCTTTGGTTCCTGGCAGAGCACTGCAGGAACAGGACATCAGGGCTATTTGTTGCTCTAGGTATTGTTAGCAGTCTTGGTACAGAGACCTGATGGAACTGATGACACACCAAAAAGGTTATTTTGTTGAGGGTGCACCACATATCAGTGTATTTTAAGTGAAGTTTTTCTCAAACGTCCAGTTTGCAGGAAATAAAAAGGTTTTGTTTGGTTTGTTTGAAATGGATGAGAATTTAAATGAAAACTAAACTGGAAGCTTCTACTGTGTGGAAATCCCACTTTTGTCCAGTCTCATGGACATACTGATGGTACAAATTGCAGAGTTGTTAAAGGACAGTCTTAAGTGTTGCCTGCAACTGTGAAATATATTTTGGACATCTGTTCCTTGCAGGAGAGGCATTGGCCTGTCTCTACCAGAGCAGGCTTCTTTCTGCAATCAAACACATAAGAACTCTCATCCCCTCATTAATTCTTCTACCTGCAAAGCAACGCAGTCCGTTTGCAGGTCCTTTTTACATATCTTGGGCAGCAGTTTCTCTAGAAGCTGCTTCTTCATGCCCCTTTATGTGAATACACTTGGATTATCTCACAAGATAGAAAATACTCTGAAGGTGGTTGGCTTCACCTGGGCTTGTCATCGACACTAGTCAAGTGCAAACATTAATCAAATTAAAGGTTCATTCCAGCCAGGTGTAAGGTCAAGCAAAATTACAAAGTTGGAAACTGAGAATGACCTTGAGTCATTTAAACTTAAATTGTAATTCCAGGGCAAACTTAACAACAGGTTCTTCCTTAGCTGCCCTGTCACCTTTTACTTTGAGTTTTTAAGATGTCTCATCCATTAAAAAATGAACGTAATTTGCACTTACACTGTGACTTGTCGTGTTCCCTTCCAGCACAAGGGAAGTGTCTCACTCGGGTGTCCCCAGCTGTGGTTTTGTTTGAAGTTCAAAGTAATTCCTGCACTCCTGACCCTTCTTTCCATTGCACCTTCTAAGCAACCTGTCCTGTCCTGACCAGTTCTTCCTTCCAGGCAGCAATTCATGAAGGTTTTTAGAAACCCTTGTATTGTGTTCTCATGGTAAGGTTTTGGTTAGGGGAAGGAACAGCAGGGCTGGCTTCTGTGAGGAGCTGCTAGAAGCTTCCCCGGTGTCCAATAGCTGAGCCAGTGACAGTGGTAGCACCTCTGGGATAATATATTTAAGAAGGAGAAAATGTTACTGTGCAGAAGCAATTGCAGCTGGAAGAGAGGAGTGAGAATACGTGAGACCAACAGCCATGCAGGTACCAAGGTCAATGCAGAAGGAGGGGTAGGAGGTGCTCCAGGCACCAGAGCAGATGTTCCCTTGCAGCACATGGTGCAGACCGTGGCAAGGCAGGCTGTGCCCCTGCAGCACATGGAGGTCCACAGTGGAGCAGATCTTCACCTGCAGCTAGGGGAGGACCCCACACTGGAGCAGGCGGATACACAAAGGAGGCTGTGACGCCATGGGAAGCCTGTGCTCCTGGCAGGACCCATGGCCTCATGGAGAGAGGAGCCCGCATGGAGCAGGTTTGCTGCAAGACTGGTAATCCCATGGGGGACCCATGCTGGAGCAGTGGAAGAGCATGAGGAGTCCTCCTCTGATGAGTAAGGAGCGGCAGAGACAGGATGGGATGGAACTGACCACAGCCCCCATTCCCTGTCCCCATTCACTGCTGGGCAGAGAGTTTGGACTTGAAGCTGAGTCTGGGAAGAAAGGAGGGGTGAGGGGAAGGCATCTTGAAGATTTGGGTTTATTTTCCATTACTCCTACTCTGATTTAATTGGTAATAAATTAAACTAATTTCCCCAAGTCAAGTCTGGTTTGCCCATGATGGTAATTGATGAGTGTTCTCTCCCTGTCTTTATCTCAAACTGTGGGATGAGCCTTTCATTATATTTTCTTTCCCCTGTCCAGCTGAGGAGGGGGAGTGATAGAGCAGCTTTGGCAGGCACATGGCATCCTGCCAGGATCAACCCACCACACCACCTTACTAGCTTTTCTACATTTTATATTTAATAACATTAAAAACTATGTGCAGTCCTCTCAGGTTTTCCATATGTAGCCAGTTTCCTCTTGGGTAGCATAAATGGCTTTCTAATAGTGAAGATGACAGACATGATAACGACACATTTTGACCAAGCATCTCTCTCACCATTTGGTGTCAGCTTCTGGGGCTCCAAATGTGACATCCCCCCTGTTGCTGAGGAATGAGAGAAGATCACACCTCCTACGTCTA